AGCATGGTTTTGGAAGATGTCTCACATGAATAAATTTTCTAGATAAGTAAAGTTTGGTCTCAAAACTTGCTTTTACTATTTCTTGTTGATTTTTTTCTAAAATTGAACAATGCAGTTATTTCACATTTATTGAGCAGATCTCATGTGCCAGAAACAATGCTGGGAACTTTACTATATGTTATCTTGATTTTTACACATAAAATGCATTGTGTTCTGGCTTTTTGAACAAGGTATACTGGTTCTAACTTACTAGCTATTCTTTAGCTGTACTAGATTCAGGTAAAAGAGAGTAGAAGGTAGAAAAAGATGGAGCTTCCAGGCCTGGTGGGCGAGGAGGGGCTATATGGGATGACCCAGGGTTTTCTAAATTTAAATGAAAACTCTTTAACTTTGATAGACCTTTAATTTATAGTCACAATTTTGTGTGCCTAATACCAGATATAGACTAAGGAATTTATTAGAGATATTATAGTAATAGGAGGTCTTTTTTTCATACCAAGCCTTCAGAGTTCAGTGAGGGTAAAGCCACCCCTCCACAAAAGCAATGAAAACACTGGCAAAGATGGTCAAAATTAACTTTTTCAGAACCCCTGAAATTAGCCAAAGACTTCCAAGTGTCTGAGGAGTGTTTATTCAAGAAAATCTGCTGAATCTCATTAGGAACAGCAGGGTTTGTGGCATTGTAACTTGAACTACTCTCATTTCTCTCTACTTGGCTCTGCAGTAGCCTTGAAAACCAGCAGTCTTGCAAACATGGTACTTGTAAAAACCAGCAGCCTTGCAACCGTTGGACAGGGCAGGCCTGGTTGGAAAATCCTCAAAAAGTCTCATTCCCAGAGCACTGTCCCTATTTGACCTATCTCACAGAGCTTTTTGGAGAAGTCTCATTTGTAGGGCATTGTTGTACTTTGATCTGATTAGGAGCTCAGCACTTGCACTGTGGGAAAAGCTCTACCCCCACGGTGTTTGTCAAAAACAATTCACTGGCAATTGTTTAGCATTGCAGCTTCTGAGGGGCAATACCAGTTGGGCAAATAAAACCTGGCCAAAAACTTAAAGCGATGATATGGGGAAAAAGGTGTCCATAAGCGGCTTTGAAAAACTCGGACATGTTCCTAGGGGATTAGAAGGCTATGCAGGGCTATGTGCATGCCCAGGAAAGCCCCCAGAGGGCCTCGGTCTCTCACCTCTGATCAACCATTGTTATCTGGTAATAAGTTGTCAAACATGGAATCTGTATGGTTCCATTTATATAACATTCTCATCATCACAAAATTATAGAGGCAGAGGACAGACAAGTGGTCACCAGGGGTGAGGGGTTGGGCAGAGGGTTCTATCAGCTTTCACTTCATGTATTTTGAAGCTCTGTATTTGGTGCTTAAACATTTGGGATTGCTCTGGCCTCTTGATTAATTGATCCTTCTATCATTATGAAATGACATTTTTGTCCCTGGTAATATACTTTGTTATTAATATAGCCACTTCATCTTCCTTTTGATTAATGGTAGCATGATAAACACAATCTATCTTCCTTTCTTTTACTTTTAATCGACGTGTGTCTTTATATTTCAAGTGTGTTTCTTATAGGCAGCATTGTTTTATTTTATTTTATTTTTTTGAGACAGAGTCTCACTCTGTTGCCTGGGCTAGAGTGCTGTGGCATCAGCCTAGCTCACAGCAACCTCAGGCTGGTTTCAAACTCCTGAGCTCAAATGATCCACCTGCCTTGGCTTCCCAGAGTGCTAGGATTATAGGCGTGAGCCACTGTGCCTGGCCTGGCAGCATATAGTTTTTAGTCTTGCTTTTTTTAATCAGTCTGACATTTTCTGCTTTTATTTGGGGTATTTAGACCATTTACATTAAATGCGATTATGGATAAGGTTAGATGTGAGTCTGTCATCTTACTGTTTGTTTCCTACTTGTTTCTTCTTTTCTTGGTGCCGCTTTTACTCTCTTTTTGCCTTCTTTTGGATTATTTTTCACAATTCAGTTTTTTCTCCGTTTGTTGTCTTATCAGTCACAGCATTTTTATTGTATAATTTTAGTGACTGACTACCTTAGAGTTTATTGCACAATATCTAGAGGATCATATCCACCTTCAAGTGACATTATACTACCACTTCACATATAGTATAAGAAATTTACAATACTATACTTAAATTTCTCTCCTCACAGCATTTCTGCTAATGTTGTTATATATTTTATTTATGTATGTTATAAACCCCACACTAAATTGGTGTTTTTACTTATTTAAACAGTCAATGATCTTTAAAAAGACTTAAATAATAAGAAACACTCTTATTTATTTATCCCTGCAGTTACCACTTCCTATGCTCCTGTTCCTTGGTTTCAATTCATATTTTCATGTGGTATCGTATTCCTTCTACCAGAAGGACTTCCTTTAGCATTTCTCGTAGTGTGGGTCTGTGGCTGATTATATCTCTCAGCTCTTATATGTCTGAAAAAGACAGTTTATAACTTTTATTTTTCAAGGGTAGTTTCTCTGGGATAATAGTATTTATTTTCTTTTAGTGCTTTAAAGATGTTTCTCCATTGTCTTCTGTGTTGCCTTATTTTCATAAGAAATTTGCTGTTATCCTTTTCTTTGTTCCTATGTATATAATGTCTTTTTTCTCTACTTTGAAGATTTTCTTTTTATTACTGATTTTGAACTATTCATTATGATGTGTAGTTTTAGTTCTGTTTCTTTTGCTTTGGGTTCATTGAGCCGCTTGGATGTGTAGGGGTTTATAGTTTTCATCAAATTTGAAAACATTTCAGACATACTTTCTTCAAATATTTTTCTGTTTTCTCTTCTCCCTTTTAGAAACTCCGGTTGTATATATATTAGAATGCTTGAAATTGTCCCATAGTTTACTGATACTCTTTTTTCTTTTTAAGTTTTTTTCCCTCTGTGCATTTTCATGGTAGTTTCGATTATTATGTCTTCAGGTTCATTAATCTTTTTTTCCTGACATGAATTCCATCCCATGTATTTTTCACTCTAGAAATTTAATTTGGATCTTTCAAAAAAATCTTCCATGTTTCTACTTAACTTTATGTCCATGAGGAATGCTGTTTTTAATTCTAATATTCATGTATATAAGATCAATACTCTTCTTTCAATAATTCATTTCTGTTTTCTCAATACGAGTCATAATGCCTGGTAGTATTTGATTAGATGCCATATATTGTGAATTTTACTTTTTTAAAAAGGTGATAAATACTTTTATGTTCCTCATACTACCGTGTGTCCCCCAAAATAAGACCTACTCATAAAATAGCCCTAACAGGATTTCTAGCATTTGCGCAATATAAACCTACCCTGAAATAAGGACCTAGTGGATGGGTGTGGCTGCACAGCATATCTGCACACCCATGCATTTCGTCGCTGAGCGCGTAAAGAAGACGAGCAGCTCTCTCATTACCCTATGGAGGCTCTTTTGCTCGGCATGAGAGATTGGGGCCAATGGCTCTAAAGGAAATAGTTGCAAGAAATCCAGGATGGAATTTGGGGTTTAGCGAATTATGATGATGTTCCAGAAGAAGACAACTTGTTGTACCGTACTTAAAAAAATAACAGATCCCCTGAAAATAAACCCTAGGGTGTCTTTTTTTTTTTTTTTTGAGACAGAGTCTCCCTTTGTTGCCTAGGCTAGAGTGAGTGCCGTGGTGTAGCCTAGCTCACGACACCTCAAATCCTGGGCCTCAAGCAATCCTACTGCCTCAGCCTCCCGAGGTAGCTGGGACTACAGGCATGTGCCACCATGCCCGGCTAATTTTTTTGTATATATATGAGTTGGCCAATTAATTTCTTCTATTTATAGTAGAGACGGGTCTCCCTCTTGCTCAGGCTGGTTTTGAACTCCTGACCTGGAGCAATCCGCCCGCCCTTGGCTCCAGAGAGCTAGGTTACAGGCGTGAGCCACCGCTGCCCTAGGGTGTCTTCTTGAGGAAAAATAGAATATGAGACGCTGTCTTATTTCAGGCAAACACGGGTATATACTTCTTCTGGGCGTTGAAAGTAGAAATCTCAAAATTAGGGTTTTTTTTTAAATAATGTCCCTGTTGGTTTGAGAAAAAAGTTGTATTTTAACCATTTATGGATAAGCTGATTTCTAAACATACTTGCTATATTTAAGCTGATGAAGATCTGTAGTGGAGTGAAGGGAGTGGAGGCCATAGAAAATAAGAGACAGGAAAAGCTTCCTTTTTTTACCAAACCTTTTTGTTTTGTTCTTTTGATCAATTGTTATGCTTCCTAACTACTCAGAGCCCCTTTTTCCTTTTGGAGAGGGACATTTTAAAAGAGTTCTATGAATATGCCACTCAAAATATATACAGGATGTTATTAATAAAATTGTCATAGTCTTTATGTTTTAATCTACATGATTAAAACTTTGACAGGCAAATATTGTAGAGCAGACATAATGAGGGAACTCACTAAATATTGAAATTAAGTCGATAGTCATTAAAATATTGAGGTAGCAATGCTAATATAGACAAATTAATGGATCAAAGGGGAATGTACATAAACTTATAAATATGTTTTAAATATTTAGCATGAAGGTGATATTTTAATTTCTGTTCACCTGATTATGTTAAAAATGCTTTCAGTAGATTAGCTAATTTAATCATTTGAAAAGCAACTATACTATTATTATCATTTTATAAATGACATTTGAGACGGAAGATTAGGACCCTTGCCCAAAGTGACAAAGCTGTCAAGCTGTTGAGCCGAGATTATAACCCAGGCCATCTGACTCCAAACCCTGCTTCTCCTCATTTCTCATAGAAATAAATTAAAACTGCCTGAAATGCTACTGCAACTTACAGAGAAATAGGTAATTTGCTCAATATCGCATAGCTTGTAAGTGATAAATTGAATTGAAAATTTTAGAAAGAGAAATCACATGAGTAGAAGAAAGGAAAATGGGATAAAGTGAGTAAGGTGAGCAACAAAGTATGTTTTAATTTTACAAATCCACTTTTCTTTTCAGAATATTTAAAAGATGCTTCAAAGAAGATGAAACGTGGGCTTATGTTTGTAAAATTGGTTAACCCATGTTCAGGTAAGTTTTCTCTTCTCTGGGGATAACTGAGATGTTTTTAAATATTGTGGCTGATGCTAATGAGTGTATATGTTTATTTGCCTTTGTATCTTCATTCTTTCTTTCTTTCTTTTTTTTTTTTTTTAGACAGAGTCTCACTGAGTTGCCTAGGCTAGTGTGCCGTGGCGTCAGCCTAGCTCACAGCAACCTCAAACTCCTTCTGCCTCAGCCTCCCAAGTAGCTGGGACTACAGGCATGCGCCACCATGCCCGGCTAATTTTTTCTATATATTTTTAGTTGGCCAATTAATTTCTTTCTGTTTTTAGTAGAGATGGAGTCTCGCTCTTGCTCAGGCTGGTTTCGAACTCCTGACCTTGAGTGATTCACCTGCCTTGGCCTATTAGAGTGCTAGGATTACAAATGTGAGCCACTGTGCCAGGCCTTCTTTCTTAATAGCTTTTAAAGTTAAGATGGCATCATTAGCTGACAAAAGCAAGCTGCCGATATTACTAGTCTCGCCATATAATTCATTTGACCGAAACATTTTTTTATTTCTCCTTATAATTTTAATCCACAGAATTGTTCAGTCATCAGAAATGCTGGCAAAACAAAAAAGTAGCATGTTCGAGTTCTTTCTGAAAACAGATTAATTTTCTTTGACTTTATTAGGCCAACTTTTCTTAGAGTAGTTATCCAACATTAGCCTCCATTTATATTCATTTTATGTTATAAAGTAAAATAAACAACTGGAGTGAAAAAAAAAAGAAGGATTTTATTTGACATGCCAAGACTTTGACTAGTTTCATTTTTAGCTGTTCTTTCCTTATTTTGTTCTGGTCAAAAAGTAGTACATTTTTTCCTTTCAAGGGATGAATTTATTTAAAAGCATTGTATATTAAAGAGATCCATATTTTATTGGAAAACAATTTTAACTTTATATTCAGTGTATTTTCAGTTTTGTCTTCTAACTTTTTAGGTAAAAATATTGTATACTCTAAATATGTAGTGATATTGATGTTATTTATCTCTGTGTAGAATAGTGTTTTCATTAATTTATAAGGTTTGAGTAGACACCCAATACTTACCAAAATAGAGCTTTCTCCTGGTGACTATAATACTGAATAGTAAAAGTAAGAGAGATCCAGTGGGTAGTGTCAGAGAGACATATAAATACAAGCAACAAGGGAGGGAAAAGAATTTCTGTCTTCCTCCAGTGTTCTCATCCTCAAAATGAAATCGAATGTAATTGATCAGCAGTATTTGGAATTCTTAGTTACACATAAGACTAAGTTGAGGTGAGAAATATTTCTTCAAGAGTTTTAGATAGCAGTAAAGGTTCGAAAGCATTTGACAAACATACAGGTACAAAGGAAAGACAGTCTTCTTCTAAAATTTGTCTTCTCTAAATGCCTATAAACAACATGTTTTTATTTGCTACATTGGCAATGGAAAAATAAAGGCTGACGTTTGCTGAGTACTTACTGTGTACCAAGTACTGTTTTAGGAAATTTACAGGTATTCTTTTTTAATACTTATAAAAACCCTATGAGATAGGTTCAGTATTGCCCCATTTTACAAATGTGGAAACAGAGGCCCAGAAAGGTTTATGTAACTTCCCCAAGGGCACATGCCCAGCATGTGGTGGAGATGGTCCTTGATGCCAGAGGTGGTGCTATGTTTAGAAAAAAATTTTTCGTGAGTCAAAAGGCTAAAACATGCAGATGTGCACAGTTTTCACTCCTTTCTACCCACCTACCCTGTTTTGGGTTTTTTTGGAGAAAGGGAAGCATTCATCCAGTTGAGTAGGGCATTACTCACTCCCTATGGCCTGAAGCACTTCCTTGCCTTTCTCACTTAGGGTTGGCCTGTGGGGTCTGTGGGCTGGGTGCCTGTCTTAGTCCTTATGTATGGGAGCCACACTGCCCTGGGGACAGGGACTCACGTGCCAGCTCAGACTATCTGGCTGAACCGTCATGTTTTAGTAGTTTAGGAGTGGGTTTTCCCTCCTGATACGATGGAGAATTCAATGAGAGGCTTTGTAGTAGTTAAGATAAACGACTTGCACTTTTTAATTTTTTGGTTTAAGTTCAGTGAGGATTATAGAGCTGGAAAATAAGCATCTGTGTATAATAGCTATGAGCTTTCCTTGGAGTCGGTTTGTAATAGAATATATCTATATATGTTTGTGTTCACATTAGGAACATTCCTCAGAAGTATTGGATAGTCTTTTGATTTGTGTGTGTGTGCGCGCGCACGTGTGTTTGTGTGTGTGAAAACTTAACAAATAAAAACCAGATTTCTCTTAACAGGGGAAGGAGCCATTTACTTGTTCGATATGCATCTACAGCAGCTGTTTGAAATAAAAGTTTTCAAGGAAAAACACCATTCTTGGTTTATAAATCAATCAGTTCAATCAGGTAGGTGACTGGTGCCTGTATTTCCATTAACTAGACATTTACTCCAGCTATTTTATCCTCCACATATGGGGCCGTGGGTCTGTCCGCCCAGTTTGGAGTATGGTCAGTGGTTTACCCTTCCTTGGCATCAGAGCAGCTTTAATCTAAGAGAAAGGAAAGATAATCTGAGCACTAAGTTTCGGTCATCCTCGGTGTGTCTTAGATGGTAGGAAATTTTAAACTAACAACTCTGATTTGTCTCCTAAAACACTGACACATCCTTAGTCTGAAGTTAGATCACCTTTGCAGCAAGGAGTGCACATTATGTTAACCTGGAAACTCTTTGGAGGGTCTTCAAGTTTTTAACATCTTATTTCCTTGAAATTGGATACTGATACAGCTTCTAAAAGATAAGACTAGGCCGGGCGCGGTGGCTCACGCCTGCAATCCTAGCACTCTGGGAGGTTGAGGCAGGTGGATTGCTTGAGGTCAGGAGTTCGAAACCAGCCTGAGTAAGAGCGAGACCCCGTTTCTACTATAAATAGAAAGAAATTAATTGGCCAACTAATATATATAGAAAAAATTAGCCGGGCATGGTGGCGCATGCCTGTAGTCCCAGCTACTCGGGAGGCTGAGGCAGAAGGATTGAAAAAGATAGACTAGACTAAAACAAAGTTTTTAAAAAAGCTCTGTTATGTAAAATACTATACACACACACACACACACACACACACACTCCATCACCACCAAAGTTCTGTGTCTTTCAGTGTTCCTTTAATTTGGGGGCAGTGCTGACTCCAAGGGGAAATGGATCCCTCGAGCCCCATGTTCTGCCTCATGACCTAGGGCTCGCTGGGGTGGGAGCAGTCGGTGGATGCTTGGGGCATTCTGCATCCCTCTGCCTGCAGACTGAGAAGGAACTGTGTACAGAGAGAGTGATGCTGGCTTCATCCTCACAAGCACAGGAAGTTACATTTCTCTGCAGCTTTATACGTAGACTGACTATGCAAGTTTCCTAATGTTTGCCGGGTCTCCAATCTGTCTGTGTTTCCCTTGACTCTTGCTTTTTTTGGGGGTGGGGAGGCTTTGTTAACAATGATTTCCAAAGAAGAAATGGAAAGCTAACGATCACTTTCAGTGTGTTGGCTCTCCTCTCCACGCAGGAACCTGAGGCTCTTTGGAGTAAAATATCATGGAGCACATTCTACCTTTTAAGAGAGTCACATAGACCCTTAGGCCTGTGTAAGAAGAGCTTCTGAGTTTGGGATTTCACACATATGTTTCAACAAATGGTTTTCACATTGAGATTGAGATGAAATAACCACATTGTCTTTCCAAAACGCTTAATTCCATTTGTTCCTTTAATCTGCAGGAGGTCTTCTCCACTTTGCCACACCCATGGACCCTCTGTTTGTGCTTCTCCACTACCTCGTGAAGGCCGACAAGGAGGTGGGTTTCCCAGCGTGGGGCATGGGCAGTGCGCAAGCAGAATGGGGTGGTTTTGCTGCTTCTCTCTCTCGTTCTACTGGTCTAAATGGAGATTCTCCGCACTTCAGATTTAACATGGCGATTGTGAAAACGTGTCTTGCATTTGCCAGAATGGGTCAGAGCACTGCCGCACGGCCTGAGAAATAGTATCTTAGTCTCAATCCAGTCTGGCTCTAGCTTGCCTGTAACCTCTGACTTGCCTAAGTCACTGTGCTGTGTGCCTACAGATTGACAAAGCCCAGCGCTAAAAACTTTTATCAAGTGCTCATTAGATTTGAAATCCAAAGCAAATGTTAAAATATGGACCACAGGCCTTAGGAGAGGAAAAATTCATCTTCTGACAGGCTGTGGAATTGGTAAACTAGGGCATGTCTATTAGAAGCTCTTTAATGGGGACATGCTAGTGAGACTTAAGGAATCCCAGGTGGGTAAAATTTGCCTTTGTCATATAAATAAAGACAGAGTTTACTAATAGTGATAGTTTCAGCCAAAAGTTCTGAAACATTTTGTTTTTATGATATATTTACACTTAAAATTATTAAGGGTTCCAAAGAGTTATGTTTTTGTGGGTTCTGCCTCTCAATATTTACTGTTAAAAATTAAAACTAAGAAATTTAAAAGTAATTTTATTTAGTTAAAATTAAAAATAATAAGGCCGTTACATGTTAACATAAATAACACATTTTTAATGATACAAACAACAAAATTTAATGAGACATGTGGCATCATTTTACATTTTACTTTAATGTTTGGTTGGAACACAACTGGATTCTCATATCTGATTCTGTATTCGGTCTATTTGCATATATTTTGGTAGAAGTATATGAAAAATATGTGACCTCATATATATATGTAGTCAGAAAAGAAAGGAATAGTATAATAGCCTCTTCAGGTAATTGTGGATATTCTTCATTGATACTACTTCAAAAGCAACAAGAGGTAGTTTTTAAAGGTTAGTTGTAATATGGAAACTAAAGCTTTGTCAGTACTCTATTACATTAAAATTCATTGGTCTGTCTTTTACTAAAAATGGATCTTTTTGCCCACATACAATTTTGTAACAGCATGTTTTGGTCATTTGGAAAAATTGGTTCACTGAATTATGCAGATCTTTCAAATGTTGACACATCTCATTTTATACACACACACACCCCTTTTGTTAATACCATCACTGATCTCATAAGAAAGCTCTGCAAGTACTGGGAAGCTGTCATAGTGGCATATGCAATTCTAATTTTTGCTTGAAAGCTCAAATTTTGTCATTGGCTACAAATTTGTCAGTCTTTTCCTTGAAATGACAGGGTCACTTCATTCACATTTTCCCAATATGTGAGTCTGAATAACCATCATTCATAGTGGGTTTTTCAAGTAAAAATGATATCCATAAAAAGGCAGCTAGTTCTGCTCACATCTCAGACCACCGCATGAGTGTGTCTCGGTTTCAGGATACAGCAGAAGCGCTTTAGTCACACCCGACTTTTATCACAGAACGTCCACACAACTTGCACTCAAGGATCAAGATTTAAGTACAATTGATTGCTTTTATTACTGATGAAAGGATATTCCTAAATGAAACTGGCATTTTTTTTTTTTAACTGCAAGTACATGGCAATCTAAAGACAGTAAGACTTGGGCGATCTGTGCATTATTCTTACTATTTGAAGGAAAAAGAGAACATTTAAATTGAGGCATTTCTTGGCACTTGTTAACCTAACAGAAAGTATGACAAGCTGTTACACGTGCTACCAAACGAATGAGAAAATTTCACCCTTATAACCCAAGGAAGCTGCATTTGCAGAAAGAAAACTGACAAGATGCAGTTTTTGTCCCTTCAGAAGGAGTTGTCACTGAAACAGAAGTGGAATGAGCTAGAAGTAGGGCATGGGCAAGGCCCTGTACCCAAATTGGGGGCATATCTTAATTAATTAATATCTTAATTTAGACAAACTTCACCTCTCCCTGCTTCTAGTAAAGCCAAGAAAAAGTAGACCTAATTCTGAAGAATAAACAATGTTGTGAATTCTTACAGTCTGCGCCTCTGGCCCGCTGGTAACCAGGCCTTATATACTTGGGCCACTGACCTGATTCGGCCTGTCGCAGCTCCTTGGGCCCGAGCCCTCTAGCTGTCTGTTTTCGAGTTCTGGTCTGTGCTAGGAAGCACTCTCAGGCAGCTCTGCGGGAGTAGGGTCACTTTTGGTATTTCTCTTTGTGTGGTGGCTACAGCTTTCTTCAGCCCTGGAGTGAGGACGGGAGGCAGATGTGTGTCTGGACTCCGTCTGGGCTCCTGTGTGAGGGTCAGGACTACTGCTCTGTGACCTCAGCTGGTTCTTCTGCAGACGGAACACGTGGTGGCACCAGCCAACCACCGGCAGTGTCTGTCATCTTTGCACGTTTCTATGGCCTCCGGTGCTTTTCTGAGTCTTTGTTCCCTGTTTCATCTGGTGACCGTATGCCCAAAGGAGATGGTATGCCGCTTGGAGCCCCAGTGGTCACAAGAGCTGTCCTAGAGGGAGCTGGGGTCAGTCCTAGAGCCTAGCCTCAGGTAGCATTCCTTCGATGGAACAAGTGGCTCTAAGCTAAGGTTTAAAGGCCCAGCCATGTGGCAATGGACCTTTTTCTCCTCGTTTTCTGTGTGAGTGAGTTAACTAGAATGTTTGCCTTCCGAATAACTAAAGTGTTTTTCCCCCCCAGGGAAAGTTTCAACCCCTAGATCAAGTTGTGGTAGATGACATCTTTCCGAATTGCGTCTTGTTGCTGAAACTTCCTGAACTTGAGAAGTTACTTCACCATGTGACAGAGGAAAAAGGTACAACCTACAAGCCTTTGAGGTCAGGCTTATGGCTGGTAGGAAGGGTGGGCCTTTGTCTGACAAAGTACCTGCTTACAGGCCCGTTGAATGTACTACTTACACTGTGCTGGTCCTGGGGGAAGCCGTCATTCAGATTCCCTTGCGTTCTTTGCTTGCACTGGATTGTTCAGTCTTTGGAACTGCAGCCAGTGAAATCTGGTGCCTGTCTCCCACAGGGCGCACGCAGATCACAAGGCGTGGCCTCAGTCTCATTCTTCTTTGACTAGTTCTGTGACTTTAGGCAAGTCACTCAACTGCCTTCTGGCTCAGATTCCTCGTTTGTAAGATTATGTAAAGCCTGTTCCTCGATTCCAGAAGCATTTATTTGGCACCTACCAAGAAGTGTATGTTGCACACTAGTGCTAAGCTCTGGATACTTATAAATAAGACATCGTCCTTTCCTTCACTTTTCTCTGAGTCTGAAGAGGGCATATGACAGCCTAGGCATTCATAACAGTGGAAGTGGACCCTGGGTTTTCTGGGGATACTCAGCACAGGTTCCGAAAATGGCAGTGTCGGGTGGGGAGTGCGGTGGGTGGATATTGTGGTGTTGTCCTGGGGGAAATGACCTCTCACTGGAGTCCTGGTAATGGAGTGTGTGTGGAGTTTTAAGCAGGGCAGTGCTCTAGTGTGCACAATATATTGGAGGGCTAAGGCCAGGTCCATGGAGGCTGTTGCCATGATCTGGACAGGAGATCACAGTCGCCTGAGTGTATGAGATGGAACCAGAAGGAAGTAGTCACATCTGGTGGTTGGCTGGTGGTCAAGGAGAAGGAGGAGTCAAGGATGACATCTGAGTTCCTGCCTGACTCTCAAGATGTGTAGTGGTGACGTCCTGGAGACAGGGAACATGGGCTAGAGCAGCAGGCTTGGGTGATGAAGAGGTGAGCTTTAGATAGCAGGCATTTGATTTTTGAGAGGAGGAAGCGAGGCAGTGTGTGTGAATGTGTTTTGACAGGTTAGAACCATGACAGGTTAGAACCACTATACAAACTTAGCATCATGTCTCCAAAAATCGTCCAAGCAGTTTCAGGATTAGTATGGAAACAAAGTGTGGGAACCAGAACAACAGGCTGATAAGCTGTGCCTATTTGGGTCACAGATGGGTTAGTCAACTGTGACAGTTCTTCCGGAACCAAGAAAGTGGTGCTTTTAAGAAGTATAAGTTTATGGTGGGAAAGGAGAGAACCTCATCTATCACCTTTCATGTTTGAGGGGTCTACAAATTCATAGCTGGCCACACTTGGAGCTCCAGTGTGGATCTGAGAGATGTGTGGTGCCAAGGTTACATCAAACCAGTCCCAGTAAAGACTTTCCCAGATGCTGAGTTTGGCATGAGACAGCAGTCCTTTTGTGGGTGACAAAGTAGGCCATAAACATTCTTCAAAACTAAAATAATAAAGAATAATTACAAGTCATTTTAATTTTTGTCAATACAAGTTGAAAATGCAGTTAACTCATTATCTAGAATTCTACCATTAGCTGTATAAGAACAGTCATCTTAAAGCAAAACTCAGAAACCCAGATTCAGAAACGATGTCAGTGCCTCAGCATCTGTTTGCTTACTGTCTGCAGCTGGGAGCAAGAGCTGCTCTCTCCCATCTCTTCTCCCTTGCAAACCAAATCCCTAACCATTTATTTCATCATTGTCTGAACTTCTGTCCCAATCTCCTTTACTTGTCAACATTGCCTAACTTTTGGAAGTTCTGCACTTCTATTTTCAAAGCTTCTATATTATCAGCCTTTATATTTGCCAGATTTCTTAAACCCTAGGCCTCAAAACTTTCCTTCTTTATTTTTAGACAATAGTAAGGCAAAACATAAAGTAATTCAGACTAAATTTCACACAGTAAAAGATGCATGTAATCTCTAGAGGCTTGGCAGTTTCTTTATATCAAATTCTTCTCTTAATGAACTACAGCTTGTAAATCTTGAAATAATGGAAAGTTTAAAAACACAACCAAAAAATTTTGTAAATGGGGGAAAAACAGAAATAGTAAGGTCTCGGATGCTTCATCCTCAAAAAGGCCTCTTCATAAAAGAAACACATAAACAGTTCCACATTACAGGCTTTTCCCCTTGACCCAAAACATAAAAATGTGAAATATTGTTCTTTATGTAAGGTTTGTGTACAAGGATAGTGTACTAAGATGGACATATTTTTCCATGAAGATACGCAGGGGATTGCTTAGCAATTGGAAATTTACAACTAGTTATGAGAGCCTGTCAGACTAGACACATGTAGGACATGGGTCTACTTCCAATACAGCGGGAAGTGCATGCTTATCGTTTCACTTATATTATTTAATCTTTGCAGTAATTCCCTTTCATTGTTATTATAACCTGCATTTTTTAACCTGGTATATCCCCTCTTAATAATTTTCCTTTCTGTGGCAAAAAGAAGGAGACAGGAAAGGAGAAAGAGAACTTCTGTAGCTTAAGGAAAACACAGTTCTCCTCCCTGCAGTGGGCTTCCTCCAGATTCCAGCCACTGTGTGACCTGCAGGTCGTCTTTCAGTGCTTGTCGTGGCCACTGGCTGCCGGTTTGAATTTGGATTATAGTCCGTTTGTAAATTAGCGTTTGGTTCCATTCTCTGTATTTACGTCTAGATTTTTAGTAAGAAGCAAAGAAGATTACTAAAGAGTGGTCAGTTAATATCCCTGACGGGGAGCAAAGGTAAAGAAGAAAGCTGATATTTTTTAACTTCCATCCTCTCCACAGGCGCTTGTGCAGATAGAGTCAAACCTGAAATACTCAAAGTCCCCAGCCAGCTATTTTGATACTAAACTCCAGATGTGGTCTTGAACTTCTATGGCATTAAAGATCTAGTTAAGCCTGCTAGGTCTGTAAGAACCTTCCCCTCCTGCCTTCTCCCTGGTGAATAAACCCAGCCACGGTTGTTTGCACCCTGAATGATGATGCTGGCGACCTTAGCCCTGCCTGCTTTATTAGCAAAGGAAATGATGTGTCTCTATTTGTTAGCTCTGGGGCTCAGAGCACGTTTCTTGCCAAAGAAGCTCACATTCAGTGGAGAGATGGCATGGGAAAGGACTAATAAAGGGTCATGAACTTTATCTTGAATGTAACACTGTGTTTCATATTGCAAGCGAAAGCTGTTCTGCACTGAGCTGTCTGAGGTGATTAACAGGAAGAGCCAGGAAAACTTACCTGATTAAAATACCCCAAGTACAGTTGCCAAGTTTCTTTCCCCAAGAGGCAGGGGAAAAAAGAGACCATATGAGCTTCTCAGTTATGGAAAACATTGAGAAACTAGAAGTGAAAATGTGCTCTAGGCAGTTTGTTCAACAATACATCAGGGAAATTCAAGTTTGTGAACTGATTACCCAGTTTCTGAATGTGTTAGTTCATTGCGGACTCACTTTTATTCTATCTTTATTTTGTAAAGCCAGTCTTTCCAGATGTTTGAAACCACTTTTATAGGCACCAGGCACATAAGGAAAAAAACCTTTCCAGCATATGCACGTATTATCTACCTTAATAACTCTTACAAATATTAAATTTAGGACATGAATGAATGTGCTATGGTATTTTTCATAATTGTGGGTAGTCTGTGGCCTTCGTGAATACTTTAAACTTCCTTGGTTTTTGGAATTCATAAATTTCAAAATTAAGAAACAGTTTATATACTGGATCCTTTTATAGCGTTCTTGGATACAGTGATCATTTTATCCAGGGAGTGTTTAATTTATAAATAAATGTATAATTGTAAAACTTCCTTGACTGGTGAATCCTAATATACTTTAAGGAAGAAATAGTACAAAGAAATAACACTTGCTCAAATTCTTTCAGAAAATAGATGAGGAAGGCATGTTTCCTGACTAATTTTATGAAACCAGAATTTTTCCAATATCAAAATCAAAATTATTACAAAAAGAATACCAGACCAATATCCCTTATGATCATAGACTGAAAAATGCTTAACAAAATATGAGAAAATCAAATATGTAAAACTTAAATGGGATTTATTTGTAGGAATGCAAAGATCGTTGAATATTAGAAAATCAATTAGTGTTAATTCACCATACTTACACATCACAAAAGAAAAATTGTATGATTATCTCAATAGATAGAGAAAAGACATTTCACAAAATTTAATCATGATACAAATTCTCAGAAAATTAGTAATAGAAGGAAACTTTCTTAATCTGGTAAAGAGCATCTTTGGCAAACTTACAGCAAATATCATCGTCATTGCAAAGAATGAACACAATTTTCCCCTAAGACTGGAAATAAGACAATCATGTCTGCTTTTACCACTTCTATTCACCATTGTGGTGGAAGTCCTAGCAGAGTCTATCAGACATGAAAAAGAAATAAAAGGCTACAGATTGAAAAGTCAGTAGTACAACTGTCTTTATTCATAGATAATATTGTCATGTATGCAGAAAATCCAAAGGGATCTACAAAAAAAGTTACTAGAACTAATAAGCAAGGTTTCAGGATAAAAGATCAATATACAAACATCAGTTGTATGTTTATATACTAGCAGTGAACAATTGGGGAATGGAATAAAAACATACCATTTATACTATCATCAAAAATCATGAGGTTCAAAGGATAAATGTACCGTAATATGTGCAAGACCAGTATACTGAACATTATAAAGCATTGCTGAGAAAAATTAAAGAAAAATTAAATAAATGGAAAAATACACCATATGCATGAATTGGAAGACACAATATTGTTAAGGTGTGTCTGTTCTCCCCAGATTGTTCTATAGATTCAATGTAATGCTTAATAGGCTTTTTTTTTTTTGGTAGAAATTAATAAAACTGATTCTAAAATTTAGATGACTATGTAAATTACCTATAATAACCAAAACAGTTTTGAAATCAAAGAATAAATTTGGAGAACTTACACACACTGATTTAAAGACTTATAATCAAGGTATTGGTATAAGGATAAATATATAGATAAATGGAATAGAGAGTCCAGAAATGGACCTATACTTATATGGTCAATTGAGTTTTTTCTAAGATGGCAAGATAATTCAATGAGAAAATGGATTGTATTTTCAACAACTGCTGATGAAAGAATTAGATAGCCATATGAAAAATAATGAACACTGACCCCCACCTTACACTCAGAAAAATTAACACAAAGTGAATCACTATCTTAAATTAAAAAATCAAAACTATTGAACTTCTATAAGAAAGTATAGGACAAAATCTTTGTTGCCTTGGGGAATAAGCAAAGATTTCTTAGGACACAAAACCCACTAACCATAAAAAAAAATTATAAATTTCATCAAAATTAATATGTTCTGTTTTTTAAAGGCACCATTGAGGGAACAAAGGAAATTGTGAGTTGTGGGACAATTGGAAATTACCTGCCTGGCTGGTGGAAGTGTAAAATGGTATAACCACAATTCCTGATTCTTATGAGTCAGTCAGCAATTCTGCTCCTAGATATTTACCCAAGACTTAGGAAAATATAGGTCCATGCAAAGACTTGTGCAAGAATGGTCAGAGCAGCCTTATTTTTTTTTTAAAGCAATTTTTTCAAAATGGGCCCAAACTGGAAACAACCTAAATGCCCTTCAGTAGGTGGATGGGTAAACAAATGTGGTATATCCATACTCCAGGATATTACTTTCCAATAGAAAGGAAGGAACTATTGCTAGCTACAACAAAATGGATGGATCTCACAGAAATTATGTTGAGCAAGAGAAGATGAACACACAAAAAATATATACTGTATCATTTCAATTCTATGAAGTTCTAGAATAAAGTAAGAACTTACCTATAATGATAGATCAGTGGCTACCTGAGATGTAGGCAGGGGTGAGAGAATTGGGGCTCAAGGGAACATAAGGGTTCAGTGGACCTTTTTAGGGTGATGGTTACATTATTGCATACATTTCTCCAAACTCCTCAAATTGTACACTTAAAATAGGTGTGTTAATTCTATGAACATTATGCCTAAATAAAGTTGATTTTTTTAAAAAAAACGAAGTAATTATTGATGCAGCACTACAAGCTAAGCCTCCCAATTTCTGACACAGTATTTTTTTCACCTCCCCCATCCCCCCACAATAATGTTGGCGTTTTTTCTCTCTGCACTTCCCATCTCCCATGGGACTAAGTGATGCAGAGTGGCGGGGAACAAGCAGAAGTGAGCACTGGCTCCAAGGTTCAAGCCTGCTTAACCAGGAGTGGTGTGGGAGGGGGATGAACAGTTTGGTTTTAGACACATGGAGCCTCCGCTCAGGGTTCTGGGCTCCCCGGTTGGTTTGTTTAGTCTTGTCGAGCCAGGAGGAGGTCACTCCGGGAGAAAGGTGCAGTTGGCCTTGGAATAGGGTGAAGCAGAGCTGGGAAAGGAATCAGAGAAGAGTCATCAGAGACAGAGCAAAACTGAAAGGAAGCAGCTTTTACAGATGCCAGGGAGGAGAGATTTTTCCCATAAACAACAGAGTGGCAGGAAGTACCAGGAAGGGCGTAGACCTGATTGATCTTGGCAAGGCAAACATTGGATCCACAGCTTTGAAGTCAGCTGGGGTGGAAATCCTGGTTGCTCCTGCTCCAACCTCAGTGACTTTGGGCAATTTACTTAATGTCACTCACACCCAGTCTTCTAAGATGGGGACAAGTAATGGTCTTCACTTGATTCTAAGATTTATTCTGACTGCTTAGAAAGGAAATGTATTTAATGAACTTAACACAGGCCTGGATAAGCATTAGTGCTATTATTGAGAGATCATCATTTTCATCCTTTTTTTTATTAGCTCATATTAAGTATTTGTGAGGAGCAGGTGTTGTGCTATAGGATCTGTATGGATTATCTCACTTCATGCTAAAATAGCCCAATGAGAAAACCCTCACTTTACATGTGGGAAACGGGTTTTGAGAGTGAAGTGGCTCCCCACGGCGACAGTGTGAGCCGGGCGTGTGTGAGCCCGGCGTGTGTGAGCCCAGGCGTGGTGGCTGCGTCTGTGTTCTCCACCCCTTCTGAGAGAGAATTTTCTAGCGGGGAGAGGAGAGGCCTGCCTAGGGGCTCGGGGAGTGGGAGACAGGAAGGAAAGCTGGCCGACTGTAGATGTCCTTTCAGAAAATATGGGGTAGAGGCAAGAGAGTCGTGACCAGCAGAGTCAAGGTCGGATTTCACGGGAGAAACTTGAGCCTTGAGGTTTTTTTGGAGATTTTTTACCTCAGGCAATGAACAGAACTTCTGACAACCATCTAACAGCATACATTTATTGAGTGATTGCTGTGTGCTCTTAAAATTCCCCTGATCTGTGCATAGGCTGGGACATCATCTCCAGGGAGAGCAGTCTCCTTGGCTTTTGTTTGCCCGGCCTTGGCTCCAGGAGAGCAGACACTCCTATTCTGATAGGAATGCCGTTTGCAACTGTCCCGCCTTTTTGTTACTGGAGGGACGTGTGCTGAAGAGACAGGCGAGAGGTCCATCCTGTCTCATCTTGCCCACGACGCTGACAACCGTAGAAGGCTGAAACAGAGAGAAAAGGCACAGGAACTAGGGCCAGGGACCTCCCAGGCCCTCTCCTGTGACAATCCATTTAACAGGCTGCAGAAAATTCCCCCTGAATGAGCAGGTTCCATTCCCACCGTGATATGCAAGGGAGAAAGAGGAACCTCATTCTATGTCACTGTCACGTGGTGAGTTCGCATCTGGCCCAAGGGTTTTCAGTGGTCATACAGGGAGCTCCGGCATGGAGGGGGCCGGAGTGGAAGTGCTGCCCCTGCCAACTGCACAGAAAGAAGACACCCATGGGTGAAAAGTGCTGCAGAGGAAGTCATGGTGCAATGGCATGGTACATAAGGCCAGGTGGATTGTGAGGAGAGGAAGTATAGGTTACAAAAGGGGAAACTTTTATCCCCATAAAGGGCCAGGTTGAGCCAACCATAAATCTAGATTCTGAAATATAGCTATGATTATATTGGTAATACATTAAAAGGTATATCTCCTCTTTTATGCTCCACTAATCCCACCAGGGCAATACTTGTAGTTAAGATTTTTCCTGAATGTATGCAGTGAACTTCATTAGGCACCTGCCTTTAGTTTTAGTTTTCTTTCTTGGGATTTACATTTTTATATTAGGAACATTGAGATGAGCTTAAAATTATTCAGAAAAATTAAGATTGCTTAGCATGCTAGTTTGCTGAGTTTCAAAAATTTCCCTTTCTACTGAATTGTTTATATAATTTGAGGGTTTTTTAAATTCCCACTTATTTATAGTTGGTTGACTCTGTTTGGGGAATTTTTTTTTTTATATCTATAGTATGCTTTCAGGTTTATAAGTTAAGTTTCTTAAGAATAAAAACAATTGTGAAATATTGTTAACTTACATATGATATAACCTTATGAGGTTTTTCTTTTTGTTTAATTCATTGTGCTGAGTCCTTTTTTTCTTTTAATCCAGAAATAAACAACAAGAAATATTATAAGTACAGCAAAGAGAAGACATTAAAGTGGCTGGAAAAAAAGGTATAGTGTTTCTCTAGTGCCTTTGGCAAAAGAAAAAATTCAGTGTTCCTTTTAAAAAATCTTTAGATAAGGCAGTAAGTCTGAATCCAAAGACCATCCTGTATATTTAGCGAAAAGAGGAAAACCCTATAGAGATATCCAAGTATGAGAAAAAGTCTGACTTTTTATCATCCCTAATTTGTGTGGGTCTGGAATTACCTCAGTGTTTTCTTGTGACCTGCATTCTCATTTCTCCCTGGTCCTACTACTGAATGGAAGAATTTCTTGCTATCTGTTGGCATAGATTTGAGTCTTCCAAGCCAGATTATACCTGGCCTGGTGCTCACTGGCTGTCGCCGGTCCTGCAGGTGTGTCCAAGGGTGATGTTGCTCATACACAGCAAGGGCCTGAGGAGGTGTTCAGGCTTAGAGGAAGTGTGTCCTTAACACCGAAGAAGGATCATCTTCCAGGCAAAGTGATTCTAAGAATCGTGACCTAGTATAAGGTCTGGGGCGGTGTTTTCCAAATCCATTTAGGTTGCAACTAGCATTCCTCTTGAAATAGAATGGGATAGGATAGGATACAATGTATTAAAAGATAGCACAGAGTAAGGGCAAGTATTAAGTATGGCTCTCTGAAATGTATACTTCTATATGTGTTTGAGCATTGAGTTTCTGTATATTTCTTAATGTGGTTTGTGGTTAAAAATAAATAAAACTACTTTGAAAACCACTGGTCTAAGGATAATGTGTACCTTCACATTGATTAAAAAGTCTCACTAAACCAGATCTATTAATGACACAGTTTTTGCAAGATCAGTGGATACCAGTAGTTATAGTACTGTTTCCTAAGGTTCTTGTCTAGCTTATGTGTGAAAACCATGTCTGTCATGTCACAGTAACAGGCACATTGGCAGCCCAGGATGCTGGAAATGAGACCTGTAAGATTAATCAGGCTCCTGAGGTGCAAAATAGTGAAGATATTTTAAAAGTGCCATATTTCACTTTCCATTTGCCATATAGTGGTAGTATTTATTCTATGTAGATGAGGAATGAGTATAAATGCTGAGCAGAATCTTGGCATTTCATTTTTGCTCTTAGCAAATGATAATGACACAAATAGCTAAGTGAAGTTTATACTTGTGTTTTCTAGGAAGTGGGAAATTTATATTGTTTATTCTGTTTAGAAAATTGTTATATATAAACTTTGTGCAAGCTTCTCTTCTGAGGGCCTTATATATATGAACTCATTTGATCCTCACAACAATCCGATGAAGTGGATACTATTTTTTATCCCTGTTTCACAGATAGGGGCACAGAGAGGTTAAGTAACCAGCCCCTGGTTCCAGAGCAAACCTTAGCAGCCTGACTCCAGAGTCAGAGCTGTCAATTAGCACAGTGTGTTGCCTCTCATATTGTGCAGGCCTCAGAAAGTCATGTATTGAGATCATCCGGAAGTGCTGCTGCCACTTGGCCTTTCTTCAGATGGGCAGCCATCTCTCATCTTCTGGTATCTGGGGAAGACATTTCTAGATTCTCAAATACTTTTTCCCAGATCTTAAATGGTTTGAGGGCCATCTGGAAAGTCATGGATTTCTAACGTTAAGTTGAAAATAACCTGCAACTCTCCCCCTCTTGGTTACTTTATAGGTTAAACAAACTATGGCAGCATTAAAAACCAATCATGTAAATGTCAGTGCCCGGGTACAGTCAACTGCATTTTTCTCTGGGGATCAAGTTTCCAGTGACAAGGAAGGTAAGTAAATCGTTTCATCAGAAATGATTTTTGTATAGAATGAGTTGCTTATGTGTAAATGCCTATTTTATGATGTAAAAATCTTAATGTTACAGAAGCCTCATATTCTTGCCAATGCCTCATAGATCTTGTGGCAAGCATAGCATCTTATTTCAGAAGCAAGGAATATTCCTACCATTGGTTACTTCTGTAATTCAGTGATACCTGAATTATTCATTCTGTATATATTTCTTTTACACTAATGGTAATAATAACCCTAACAACCGTGGCTATCATTTATTGAGGTGTGTTGTACACCAGGCCCTTTACTAAGTTGCCAGCATACAAACATGTTCTCATCCTGACTCTCCTAGTAAATCTCATAATGAGAGTCTTGAGGCTCTGTCATTGTCACTCAACTAGTAAATGGCAAAGTCAAGATACTGATAGAGCTTGTCTCTCAAGCCCCCACTCTTAACCTTTTTGTTATACTGTTCCAGTGGGCTGCTTCTGTTTGCATCTTACTCTCAAGAAGCATATTTCCTAATATAGGGCTCAGTATTTTCATTTCAGATGAAAAGTGATTTACTTGGCATTTTTTAAATTTTATTCTTTTATAACCTAAGAAAAGGACCATTCTCCCCCTGCCCCCCCCCACCATGCAGTGTCCTCTTATTTTTATATGTACAGTTGAATAAAAACAGCTACATAACACAGTTAATATTCTCAAATGGTGGGACAGAAATTGTTCTGACCTTAACCTCCAATTCAGTATTCCCTTGTGCTGGGTGTATAACTCTGAAACATCTGGCTTTAGTCATTAAACAAATAAAGAGTAGGAATAGCAGCCTGTTTGTGATTAATGGTAACTTAGGCAGTCTTTGATTTGCAGAAATCTACCTTACAACACCTTGCACGTATAGATAGTTGGCTACTGCCATTCTGGGTGTGCCAGATGTCAGTGTTTAATTGGCTTTAACAAAAAAAAGGAGAGGAGGGATCCAGTTGGATGGATGGATGGGTGGATAAGACCATAGATTTTTTAAGTAGGAAAAAAGATGTTAGAGGTTAGACAGATCCTCTCATTTTAAAAATGGAAAACTGTGGTCTCAGAAAGGTAGATGACTTATCCAAATTAATAAGCAAGGTCTTCTGTTCTGAGTCCAGTGTTTTTACCAGTGCTCTACATACAAGAGTCTGAGGGGCTTTGCTATATTGCCATTTAGGGTCCCAGCCATAAAGTAAGCTTTACACACTACACGAATTTCCTTTTTTAGGTCTTTAACTTGGTATGGTACTAGAAGAAGCAAATGAACTATAGGTTGGCTTTCTTAAAATAGTTCTCTTTGTCTAGTCATGACTCATTGGATAATTACTATCCCAGAACCATGAGCACATTTTAAGAAGAGTCAAATGGTAACTTTGAGTTCTGCATTGACAGTGAAAATCTCACTGAAGACTTGTTGAGATCAGGTGGTCACCAGACAGCAGTCATTTTCTCAGTAATACAGAGGCAGATCATTACCTTCGCTTGAAAGCAGAAGAGAAAGGAAAAAAAGGAAGAGAATGAATATACCAGCAGCAAACCCAGGGTCTGCTTTTGGTGTTTTATGTCCCCATGTGGTTATCCTATCTTATGATTAAGTTTGATTATCCCCTTATATTTTATAATACATAAAATACTGAATTCAGGAACAGAATTTTAAAACAGATTTTACTGTCTTGTGTAACTGTATTTTTAATTGATGCCAGAGCTGCATTTTAGTACTGAGAATCCACATGCTTTAAAATTATTGATTCCGCTGAGTTCATTGTTTTCTTTTTCTTTTTTTTTTTTAAGTCATTTTATTATTTGAGAATAATATTCGTGGCTGGGTGCGGTGGCTCACGCCTGTAATCCTAGCACTCTGGGAGGCCAAGGTGGGCGGATCACTCAAGGTCAGGAGTTCAAAACCAGCCTGAGCAAGAGTGAGACCCTGTCTCTACTAAAAATAGAAAGAAATTAATTGGCCAACTGAAAATATATAGAAAAAAATTAGCCGGGCATGGTGGCATATGCCTGTAGTCCTAGCTACTCGGGAGGCTGAGACAGAAGGATTGCTTGAGCCCAGGAGTTTGAGGTTGCTGTGAGCTAGGCTGATGCCACGGCACTCTATCTGGGCAACAGACTCCATCTCAAAAAAAAAAGAATATTCAGGGTTCTTATATAGCAAATACCTAGTAGTAGAGACATATCATGGTATTTTATTTCTCTTAAATTAGAGCACTTGTTATTGTTCAATAATTAGATTTATTCTCTATTGAAACAGAGTTAGAAAACATTAGCCTTAAGAAAAATGAATGTTGTATATTGTTACAGATGATTTTTTTAACTTTATAAGTATTTAAGTGCTTCAACTAAAAAAGCGACCCTGAGTTTTTGTTTTTACTATCATTTAGTGGATATCTACTGTGTTACACCTGCATTATCATATTTCTGATACTATCCCATAGCATATCTTATTCATCATATCATCCCACTATTCTGACAGATACTAGTATCCCCACTTTACAAATGAAAAAACAAAACTAGAGCTTAAGTTAAGTTCCCTAAAGCCAGATAAAGCCAGAATTTGAACTCAGGTCAATTTGACTAATAAACCACCATAATCATTACTAATTTTTTTTTTACTTTCACTCTTCTTTCTAATTCTTTCAGAGGATTATATTCGTTATGCCCACGGTCTGATATCTGATTACATCCCTAAAGAATTAAGTGATGACTTATCTAAATACTTAAAGTAAGTATTGGTCATCTTCAGTCATAATTAAGTACCTTTGTGCTACTTGGTTTCCCCAGCAATGGGGTTTTTTTTACAGCTTATATCACTTACCCTGATAAGAGATTATTATGGTGTTATGTCATGTACTCTTTGGTATGGATGTGATTTTTAATGGATGATTGGAATGAATTGATTTGGTGGATACTGACAACAGGAACTAGTGAATGTTAGGGTTGGAATTATATTAGCTTGTTCTGATTTTAGAGGATAAACTGTGTTAAAATTGTATTCCCAATTAGACTCAACTAATTCGCTTCTTTGTGATCATTTTAAGAGAAAGAAAGGAGGTATGGAAAGGGTAGATGGCATGTAGAATATTTTTGAAAACTACATTGAAATGTTTTGTACCATTTTCACCATCATCATTAGATGTTCACTAAAGTATCTTTATTATGCCCAGTTCTTGGACTGCAAAGTAATATGAAACATAATCTATGCAGAAGAAGGGTTTTAAGTGACTTAATTTATAGTCCTTCCTTTATAATGATTTTATATGAAGACTTTAGGTTGAAAAAATGTTTATTTTCTATATTTTAGCAAAATTATTACTTAATTTTGTTGTTAAGATTTTATATGTGTGATGATTCAGTAGCTTTTCCTGATCCTTAGAAATTCTTTTTATCCTCTGACCCTTGAAGATAAAATGACTTTCTAATAGATATAGTTCCTGTTTTTAGCTAATTCCATAGGTGCTATAGAACAGTTAGTGGAAACTGGTTTACTTTCTATAGTAAAGTGTGTTGTTGCAAGCCTGCTTCAGATGGATAATCAGATCCTTCTGCGTAATATTTCCCGGGATTTCTTAGCTGCCAGTCTTTTTAGACACCTTATGTCTTTGTACTCCATTATTTGCTTAGATTCTTTTCTTCCCACTGAAATATTTAGTTTTGGTTAAAGATTTTGGTAGAAAGATATGCTAATTAAGTTTCTTTTTAATGAAAGAAAAGGTAAAGTTTATATGGCTTTTTGTCAATAGTTAAAATAATTTCCACTTTTAAATACATGTTAGCATCATCATTTGTGAGGAAAAAATGCTCCAACACCTCACACAAATTTATAGAGGCGAAAGAAGAACACCTAAATTTCAACAAATGGGTTCTAATTTTTTTTTTTTAGTTCAGACAATGCCAATACAAGGAATTAAGTAGAAAAATGAAGCCTCATTAAGTTAGAGAACTTTCCTTCTTTACACTGAGGTGATTGAACAGCAAGATATATGGAGATAAAGCTGTAAGTTGAAAAGTTGGATTTACTAAATCTTAAGTTGGCCCAGTCTTTCTGTTTGTTTGTCTATGAAAAACCATGACTATGATTCTTATTTTTAACTTCCTTAGGCTTCCAGAGCTTCCAGCTTCATTGCCAAATCCTCCATCAAAGGTAAGAAGCTGTGACTAAGATATCTTTAGGGGACTTGGAAAAATATTGCACTTTTACCATATGATTTTAGTTTGTTCTAGTATATTTTAAAGCATACTAAATCCATCTTGCATGGAATGATGTTATCTGGAATAAAGATTGTACCAGACTCTGTCAGTATTTTTTCATTTCTGTAGATTTTACCTGAATGATAAATAAAGTGCTACAAAAACCCAAGAAGAATTGGTTTTAGCAAGATACTCTTGTAAAAATATAAATATATAATTAAAATTCCTGAGTTAGCTGATTAATTAACTTTTTATTCTTTTTTTTTTTTTTTTTTTTTTTTGAGACAGAGTCTCACTTTCTCATTGTTGCCCAGGCTAGAGTGAGTGCTGTGGCATCAGCCTACCTCACAGCAACCTCAAACTCCTGGGCTCAAGCAATCCTACTGCCTCAGCCTCCCGAGTAGCTGGGACTACAGGCATGCGCCACCTTGCCCTGCTTATTTTTTCTATATGTATTAGTTGGCCAATTAATTTCTCTCTATTTATAGTAGAGACGGGGGTCTCGCTCTTGCTCAGGCTGGTTTTGAACTCCTGACCTTGAGTGATCCGCCCACCTCGGCCTCCCAGAGTGCTAGGATTACAGGCATGAGCTACCGCGCCTGGCCTGATTAACTTTATTAATCACCAAGAATATATATAGTTAAAACTCATTTTGCCAAATCTAATTGTCACTGGCACAAAGGTGCACAGAGCATGGTTTTTGTAACACAAAGAATCCTTTGAGCAAAGATGACCACATTTTTTTTTTACCCTGAATTTGAAATGAGCATCAAAATTGTGTGTAATCTTTATCTGCGAATGGAAAAACTTTTCCTCTTCCAGACATTCTCAAACTGCCACCCACAGCTCCTCTGCAGCTTGTGTTTATCTCCCAGATCAGGAGGATAGAGAAGCCAGTCATAAACCACACCTGATTGCAAATTGTAGTGTCTCTCAGTCCAGACCAGATCTCAGACCAGTCAGCACTGCTCCAAGATGGGGAAATAAACACATGTACCAGCTTGTCAGTGAGGTCATTCTGCAGCTAGCAAAGTAATGGATACCTTGAGAATGTAAAAGGGACACATAGCGGATGTTAAACAACTTTCCTTTTCCCCTGCATTCATACCTAGGCCTTCAAGGTGGCCAGGATGCTCAGATTTTTTTTTTTTTTTTTTTGTATCATGCCCTGTTTGGAGGTGGTAGTGCTTCCAAAAACATTCATTACTTTGATTTTTAGAAAAGGACTGGAAATCAAAAGGGTATCAGTGTTCCTTTGGGGCTGTGTTCAGCAGGTTAGCAAAGGAAGTGCATCTTTTACTGTCTGGGAGAGCAGCACTGGGCAGAGGTCAGTTGCTGTAAGAGCTAAGATAGACCATTCCAGGCCAGCCCCATGCTTATTTCAGCCCCGTAGTTAGTCTCTGACAGTAGCTCTAGGGGACCTAGAGAAACATAATCATCTTGCTCTAAGTAAGAGGGTAGGTGCTCTGAAAGTGTTTGCTTCTTATTTCTCTCCCTTCAAAAATTAAGCATGTCTTTCTCTCAAATATTTAATATCTATATTCCTTAGTAATGTAGAGATCATTCATAAATTGGTCTAAACCTACTCGTAAAGGCCTTTGATACCTTCTGGAATAATGTATTTCATAAGTTTATTCTTCTATGTTCCTGTTTTCTCTTTTCTTTTAATTTCCAAAATTTAAGTTGTTTGTGATTTCATCATTTATGGTTTAGATCAGGGGTCAGCAAACCTTTTCTTCCAAGGCCAGATAGTAAATATTTTAGGCTCCGTGAAGCAGATGGTCTCTGTCACAACTACTCAACTCTGCTCTTGCAGTGTGAAAACAGCCGCAGACAATACATAAACGAATTAGCGTGGCTGCGTTCCAGCGAAACTTCATTTATAAAAACAGGCGGCCAGCTGGATTTGGCCTCTGGGCTATCGTTTACCAAGCCCTGATTTTGATCTTGGCATCTCGTTTCTCCTAAACCTCAGCCTCGTCTCCTGGATAATTTCAGTTGCTTTCCGAGGTCTTCTTCCTCTCTGTGTCTTCCTGGGGTTCTGGTGTTCACATCACAAACTGTACAGGCTGGTGTACCATTTTGTAAACAAGCCTAGGATGTGACTTCTGCAAGCTTTCCTGTTTGTGTCCAGGATTTTATTGATTTTTATAGTAATATAGTCAGTTGTTTTCAGGAAATACATTCCAGTAGCTATTAGGTATCGTTGTATCTGTGTTATAATCCATAGCATGGAGCCTTTTGTCCTTAATATGTTTTGTATTATTTTCCATGATGATCATATGTCTGCCTTTGTTGAAGCTCAGCTTCCAACCCTTAAATCTTTTGCATTTGTCACTGTCAGCAAGCAGAGCTGAATGCAACCAGTGGGTTTGGAGATGTTCCCGGGTCCCTTCTTGCACATCATTTGTAAGAACGATAAGACGTGGCCTAACATTAATCCCTGTGGTACTCTGCTGTTTGTTCTTCTCTTTCCAGAACTGCATCCATCTAGTCATAACCTTTGTTACTGTCTTTCTGAACCATTTTTCTATTTCTGCTGAAACAATCCCATAAATCTATAGTGATCTGGTCTTTTAAATAACAAAGATTTCAGTAAATGTTACAGTCTTCTTTTTTCCAATGTATTCAACAGTGTGCTGGGGATAACATAAAAATCAGTTACGTGCAGAGGCTACCACAATCATTTTCTTTTTTTATAGGCACTTATAACAGGTATCTTATTTGGTTGTGAGCTATTAAAACACCTGAACAAGTCAGCCCAACTATTCAACGTTTTGTTTTCATACGGAAGTACCTTTCATCTTAAGCTTGTTCCATGAACACTTTTTATTTGAATTATCAGTGCAAAGTGAATTTTGCCAGGCATGGTAGTACACGCCTATAGTCTCAGCTACTTGGGAGGCTAAAACAGTAGGATCACTTGACCCTCGGAGTTTGAGACTACAGAGAGTTATGATCCCAACTATGAATAGCCTCTGCACTCTAGCCTGGGCAACATAGTGAGACCCCATCTCTTTAAAAAAAAAGTGAATAGTGTCCAAGTTTATAATGACATCTATATTAAGACCATTTTTGCTGTGGAGAAGGAACACAAACATCCTCTTAACTTCAAGTTTTTTGTGTTTTGAAAATATTATGGCCTTCAGCATTATTAACTGTGAGTTCTACTCCCCTGGCTGAAAATGCCTTTCTAGTAAAAAATATGCATCACCTAAACACTCTTTGCTGTCTTAATTTAAATAGAAATGTGTATTTTTTAAGAAAGTTGTGTGTATGCATTCACTTTGTGCCGGTAGGTGGCTCATATGTGGTAGAATAGTCTTTTTCTTTTGATGATCCATTCACTAGTGGCTGCTGTGTGGCCATGAGAAGGCTTTCCCACATTACATGGTATGTTCCCAGGATGCCCCTCTGGCTTTTACAGAGAATAATTTCAAGACATGTTGTTTTATCCCCTTGGGATATGTGGGCTGTGGCATCTTTTAACACCACCTCTATCTGTTCTTTGTTTAGCAAAAGCAAGGGCATGAAAAATGAAGCTGGGGACAAGTTTGTATTTCCTAGGGTAGACCCATGTTGGGTCTTGTCAACCTGGTGTCTTCACAAAGAGCTTGAAGATCTATGAAAATCCAAGTTGTGATCACCATCCAGTTAGTTCTTCATGTTCAACAGCAAGACTTGTCTGTCCTGCTGTTGAGCCTCTTACATAATAAGAATGGCACGATTTCTTCTGTGTTGTGAACATTAAGGCCACAGTCTAGCCCTTGACAAGATTCTCACATTCATTGGTGCAAATGCTCACGTGAAAGATGAAAATATTAAGTAAAGGTTTGACTTAGTTGCATTGAGCCCAATGGAAAGAACACTATAAAAATTGAGATGTTGGCCCAAGTCCTCCACTAGGTGACCTTCAGCTATTCATTTAACCTCTCTTGTTGGCTGCTTGCTGTGTAAGGTGGTTCTTGTGTATATAAAATGAGATAGTTGAATCGCAAGGAGGGAAGGACATAAAACTATACAGAGATGGTAATAATGGAATAATGTTGTCCCTTTATTCATAAGTAGACATTAAACCAGCCCAGGAGGTGAATGAAATAAGGGTTCTGGGTGGATACATGTCCCCCTTAGAGGGAATTTTCCTGTTTGACTTCTGTGCCTTGCCTTCATCTGTAGTCAGCAGTCACCTAGACGCCCACCGTACCTGGCACAAAGTGTGTGGTTAGTATTGCCAGACTGACTAAGGGGCTGGGTCATGTACTTACCCAGTCATGTCCCACCGTCAGCAAGGCTGCTTCTCAGAAGTGGTGTGTGACTTAATTCCCTAAATAATTTGCAAAATGCGAAGGAGCTTGTACAAAGTTAGCCCTTTGCTGTGTCTGCTGTTCCATTTGACCTTTGTGTGGGTCCAAATTACACATGTTGGGATTCTTTTAATGGATTGATGCTAGTGTCAAGATGACATTTGACACCACTTCACTGCTCTAACGTTGCAGAAAATAAAGTTATCAGATGAACCTGTAGAAGCAAAAGAAGATTACACTAAGTTTAACACTAAAGATTTGAAGACTGAAAAGGTACGTGTGTGCAGGTGTGGTGGCATGTGAGACACACCCTGTGGGTGACACTGCATGAGGACGTGCAGGGACACTTGCAGGCTTGATTGTGATCACAACTTTGACCAGGGAGAATTGTTAACTTGCATTTCTGTGACTTAATAATTAATTCACAATTGTGCATGACAATGAGAATGTTGAGCAATTAAGACTTTTTACAAATCAAAGAAAAGCAATATACTACTTATCAAGAGTGTGCCTGAACTTTGCTGTGTATTCATGGACTGATAGGGTAGAAGGGAAGGCACCTCTACAGGTTATTTTTTATCAACCCTATCGCCCAGAGCTTCCCGGAAATTCTGATGATGATAAAAATTATTGATAATTTCACCATTCAGCATTTACCTGGGCAGATGTTATTTTGGTAACATTTCTGATGAGTTTTATCTTATGCATGCATTATAAATACATATGTAACCTTTTAAATTGGCATTATAATACTTATATAGTTGTTGTTTCTGCCCTTTCCATTGAGTATTACATGGTGAAAATTATCAAACCAAATATTCCTTGAAAATTGTTCATAGTTTCATGATATTCAATCATGTGTGTTACTTTATTTTATTATAGAGAATATAATTCATTTTCTTATTCCTCTGTCTTTGGACATAGAGGTTACTTCTGACTTTTTTCTATTTTTTGTTTTAATGAAGTGATAGACATTCTTATTTACAGTCCACATTTGCATCTGATTATTTCATTAGACATAATCTAGAACTAAGAGTAAGAGCTTAGAGAACATGAACTCTTTCATAATAATTAAAGTATAGTAGCTAAAATGCTTTCCAAAAATACTGTGGAAATTTGCACTCTCAGACATTATTACTGATGAGTATTTATCTTGCATTCTTGCTAGCTTCAATATTATTTTTATTCTTGGACATTTTTGCCTGTCAAATTAGGCTACATATTTTTACCTAGAAAGGTTATTTTTCCAAATGCTTATTGCCCATTCATTCTTTCTCAAATTGTTGGTTCATATCCCTTGCCTCTTTTTATGTTCAGATAGTAGTATTTTTCTGTTTGTTTGAAAGAGTTCATTCTAAATTAACACTTTTCATGATATATAGGGTACAAATGTTTTCAGCTTTTCCATTTGATTTTTTAATAGTGTTAGATTGTTCTGAGGATAATAGTGTTCTGAGGATTAAGTATAGAAATTATTTTCCTGTATGATTTTCCCATTGTTTTTATGCTTTAAAAAGGCCTTGCCTATCCTAAGTTAATTTCTGCTTAGATTTTAACCATACTTAGACTTTAATTTTTTAATAAATTTCATTCTTTAATCATATGCAATTTATTTGGGCATAAGTGAGGGAATAATCCAATTTAAGATCTGCCTAAATACCTAGTTATGTGCTGTATGTAAACAGGGACATTTTGAGTTTCTCTAAGAGAAATCTTTCCGTCTCACCCTTCTATGGAAATGGTACTTCCCAGTGTATCCACTTGTAAGAGAAGTAAGAGAAGAGGGTTGGACCAGGATGTCTGAAATGCATAGGATAACTTGTGTGAAAGAGACTGTCACTTTCCACCATACAGTCAAAAATAAGCCTACTAAATTATAAGGGACAGAATGTGAGAAGCAAGATTGTAGGAATCACATACCATACCCCTACGAGACGCTTTGGAAATGACTTTGCCTTAGTTCCCAGGGAGACAGGTGATTTTTTTTCTTCACGGAATTCTCATTACGTATGCTTCTTCTGAATATTTTGCAATGCATCAAAATAAAATCAGCTGCTGTTTACCTTCTTTAAGTGCTTTTTATAGGACATGGGGAAAAAAATAACAGTGACCAGAAAGAGACAGAGATGTACAGGCCAGAGTTATTTGGAGTTAGCTTTTTGGAAAATATTTCTTTGTTGGAGAAAAATGAGGCAGTTATTCTGCTGATCTGGGAGGCTTTGCAATACAGGTCACCTTTTGAATATGATAGGGTTGTCCTTGGTTTCCCATAGAGCGAATGAATAAAATCAGATGGTAAATTGGTGTGAATTATTCATCATGTGGCAATACAAGGCTGTAATTCCTCCCTCTGACAATTGCGGCCTGTGTCAGCTCCATTGTTTGTGTTATTGCACTTAATGCACCCTCCAGAATTACTCCCCTGAAAGTAAACCACTGGTTGTAACATTCCACTCCTTAGAAGGCGGCAGTTTTGTCTTCTGCCTCTTTTAACATATTCTGTCTCTTAGGTCTGAATTCTGAATAGAAATCAGAACTTTTTTCACTCCCTTATGAAGCATATTACCTCCCTTAATGAACCTTGAGACATGCAGTCTTATTTGATTTGCATGTATGATGTATAAATGCCATGTCTGTAACAATTTTTCTCTCTTATTTTCATTAACAGAAAAATAGCAAAATGACTGCAGCTCAGAAGGCTTTGGCTAAAGTTGACAAGAGAGGAATGAAAAGTATTGATACCTTTTTTGGTGCAAAAAATAAAAAAATTGGAAAGATTTGAAACTTTGAAAATGAAATCCAACAAAAATACTTGCTTTGTACTTGTTTCATTTTCATCCTTCCTGACCACATTTTAGGGAAGGAAAAAAAGGGGGGGTAGTTTTCAGATTCTCTTAAACATTTCTTTGTGTTTGGTCTTTGTGTTCTTAAACAAAATATGGGAAAGTAATTTTGTAATTTCATGGCCTTTGAAGTCTCATTTGACATCATGAAAAGTATTTAAGTGAATAGAATTAACATAGAGCATCATGATATCCTCAATAAACTGACCTGTGACAATATTGGCGTGTATGCCTGTTATTTTATACAGCTTTACAAACAGTAGCAGTAACAATATGGTTTTCGATATACTGAGGGAAACTGGATAACAAAACTGTCCGGCAAATTATTAATTTTTAAAAGGTTTTATTTTTTGGTAAGTCTTTTGATTAATGATGTTTTTCTGTTTTTAGGAATCCACATTCTATGTAGAAAATAAGAGAAAAGAATAACATAAAAATTGTAATCTCCCATTTCTTCATTACCCAGAGATAATATGGTACATTTTCTTAAAATAACATTTTTAAAGAGTGATTATGATAGTAATCTTATAAGCTTTTTTAAAGAACATCATTTTGTGAGCATTTTCTCTGGCTAATAAGTATTCTTCATAAATATGATTTTTTTAGTGACAACCGTGTAATTTTCGATTATTCAGATATTTGGTATTTCATGACCCTGTTTGGACATGGAATAGTTTGGTTATTTGACCTCTCCAAATCTCACGTTGAAATCTGAGTGCCAGTGTTGGGGACGGGGCCTGGTGGGAGGTGTCTGGGTCGTGGGGGCAGATCCCTCATGAATGGCTTGGTGCCCTGCAAGTAGGAATGAGTGAGATCTCACTTTATTATAATAGTCCACTCACACTAGAGCTGGTTGTTTAATGGAGTCTGCCACCTCCTCCTTCTCTTGTTCCCTCTCTCACTGTGTGACACACCTGCTCCCCCTTCACCTTCCACCTTGATTGGAAGCTCCCAGAAGCCCTCACCACAAGCAGATGCTGGTGCCATGCTGCTTGTACAGTCTGCAGAAACATGAGCCAGATAATCTTTTTTTTTCTTTATAAATTATCCAGCCTCAGGTATTTCCTTTATAGTAATACAAAATGGACTAATATAGGACATTTAGATTATTTACAAATGTTCACTGTTTGAAGAATTGAATTAAAAGTAAATATTTGTCCATATCTTTTATCATTTACTTAGAATGAATTTTTAGGTGTGGGCTTACTGGTTCAAAAATGAGATTTTCAAATATATGTTCGTGGTAATATATTTCACAGAAAGGTTATAGAATCTAGCAGTCTAACAAATAGGCGTGAGTTCTTACTCAGTGCCACCTTGTTAGCATTGAATGTTATCTTTGCAAATAAGTGGAAAAAAGGCATCTTATTGTGGTTTCGATTCACATTTTCCTGATTAGTAATGATGCTGAACATTTTTTTACATTTACTGATCAATCGTCATCTTATAGAGACTTATCTATTTATATACTTTGTTAATTATTGAGATGTCAGTATTTTTATTATTGACTAAAAGTATTCTATAACTTGAGGACATTAATTTTTTCTAACATATTCACTGTAAATTTCTTTTCTTTGTTTATACTTTGCCTTTAATTTTGTTTATAATTTTTTGACATGCAGATGTTTTTAGTTTTTATGTAGACATATATACATAAACTTTTCCTTTACATAGTTGTTATACTTAGAAAGATATTTCTCTTTCCAGGAAATTTAACCAGTTGCTTTTACTTTCTTTTAATTTTTTTAATAGTTAAATTTTCTATTTATATTTACTTAAATCCTCTAGAGAATTTATGTTTAAATATATTGGGAGATAAAGCTATAATTTGGTTATTTCTCACCAGTTTGTTTTTCCATCTGTAGAATTATTTTGTCAGGTTCAAAGAGTAAGTTCCAAAGGGATGTTTATTGAGATTTTGCTAGACTCATAAATTATTTTTTGAAAAACAAGCATCTTTACAGACTTCAGTGTTCTTATTCTTCATCTACAATAGGTTCTCTATCAGAGGTCCTCAAACTACTGCCTGCCGGGCCACATGCAGCCCGCCGAGGACATTTATCCAGCCTGCCAAGTGTTTTTGCCACCGCTGCCTGTCCTGCTTAGCAGCCGACTGGTCCCAGGCCCACAGTGCGCATGTGCGGAATGTGCACCGCATTCTCCAATGGCCCTCCAACAGTCTGAGGGACAGTGAACTGGCCCCGTGTTTAAAACGTTTGAGGATCCCTGTTCTAGATCCTTTGTAGGAGTATGTCTAGGTATTTTTGTTGCTATTAATGAAAATTTTTTTTCAGTTAGGTCTAATAAGAGGTCATTTTATGATAAAGTTTTACATTTTTATATGATTGTCTTTTAAATAACCAATTTAAATTCTCAATCTAAAAATTTTCTATTTTATTTATCTTAATTTTCCATACATTATAAGGTATGTGATTTACTTCTAAATACTATGTGCAATTTTAATAATTATACCTTTTATATCCTTTTTTCTTTTTTTTAATTTCATTTTTTTGACTTAAGACCCAGTGAGTCTCTTTTATATCTTTTATATCATATTACACAGGGCTAGAATATCCAGAACAGTGTTAAATAATAATAATAGTCATTGTCTAATTTGTGATTTTATTGATGGGCTTTATTATTAATTCAGATACTAGCTGTTGTTAATATGATAAAAGAATAGCCATCTTTGATATTTTCTTTTGTATACTTAGTTTCCTTAACATTTAAATTGGTACTTGGTGTTGGGTGTTATCAAATATTTTTTGGCGTTGATCGAGGTGACTATAGTGTTTTTACCACCAATAAACTGTACTTGAGTGTGTGTAATAAACCCTCCCTGGCAGTAGATAAAGGGTAGGTAGCACAGTGGATGCTCCCTATCTGGCTTAGGCTTTATCAAATCTAGTTGTCAATTAGGCTTTCTAGGCTCATGTTTAGAATTTTTGCCACCATATTCAAAAGCAATGTTTTTGTTAGGTTTTAGTGTTAGAATTATACTAGCTTTCCATCTTTTCTAGTGTTCTAGAGGGATTTATTTTGCATTAGTAATATTCTATTTCTGGACATTTTTAAAGAATATCAGAGGTAAGACTGTCTAGCACTGGAGCCTTTTTGTTGTTACAGTTTTCTTTAATCTGGAAGAATTTCTTATCTGTTCTTTGTCTTATCATTTTGAACAGTACAAGTGAGTTATTTGGTGCATAAACTGTGGGTTTGTCTACCATTTGCTCTTGATTAAATTCAAGCTATACACTTTGGGCACCCACAGAAGGAATGCTGTGTCTTTCTCAGTGCCCTGTATCTGGAGTCACGGTTTGTCCCGATATCAGTGATGTTAACTTTGATCACTTGATGAAGGTGGTGTCCACAAGTTTATCCATTGAAAATTACCATTGATTATCTTTGTAATTAATAAGTAATTTGTGAGTAAATACTCTTGGACTTTTTAAGTATCCTATTCCATATCAAATGTTTACCCACTAGTTTTAGGATCTACTCATGATTTTTCTAACTCTATTATTTTTTCTATGTTTATCAGTTGGCATTCTCCTGTAAGAAAGAGTTTTTCTCTTCTCTACTTGTTCATTTATGAATTTATATCAGTATGGATTTATAGATTTATATTTTATCATTATATTATATTATCATTATTAATTTTGATGCTCCTATTATCCCAGAAGAGCCAGTAGGAGACCCTTCAAGCTGACTTCTGTATCTTTTGGATATATTTCCATTATTCTTTAATACATCCTTACTTCTGGGACAGGGTGTTTCAGGCTCTTGTACTTTTTCTGCCCAAGCCCTGAATCAGCCTTTTTTCCCAAAGAGCCCTGGTTCCTTTCAGTGTAGAATGGTATTTAGAAACCAAGATCTAGTTAGTAGATGTGCTAATTGTTATTGGTATGTCACTGCTTAGCAGTCAAAGCTAGGAAATGTGTGTGTGTGTGTGTGTGTGTGTGTGATAATATGCAAACATATACACACTATATACATATCAACATTTCTGAATCTATCTATATATGTATCAATATCTATGTGTGTGATTTTTTTGTAGATTATCAGGTTGAGGAAGTTTTATTTCTAGTTCACTGAGAGTTTTTATCATAAATAGATACTGAATATTATCAAATAATGTTTTTATCTATTGAGATGATCATGTAGTTTTCCTTTAATAGAGGATTATCTTTTAATATTTGAATTATAATGATTAATTTTTGAATGTCAAACTAACTTTGCATAATCCCTAACTTTGGGATAATCCCTACTTGGTCACAATGCATTTTCTTTTCATATGAGGTTTTATTTCCTAATATTTTATTAAGGATTGTTATATCTATTCATGAGGGATCTTGGTCTGTAGTTTTTTTATAATGATTTTGATGTCAGAGTAAAACTGTCCTTATTATTGAGTTGGAAAATATTCTTTTATCACCTATTTTCTGAAAGACTTTGTGTGAGGTTGGCATTGTTTCTTCCTTATATGTTGAACAGAATTCACCAGTGCAGCTTGAAGCTGTTGGGGCCTAGAATTTTCTTTCTGGGAAAATTGCTAATTACTAATTAGATTTCTATAATAAAGAGCTATTTTAATTTCCTTCTTTACTTGTGCCAATTTTGGTAATTTATATCTTTCAAGAAATGTGTCTGTTTCATCTAGGTTGTCAAATTTATTGGCATAAGTTGTTCATCATGTTACTATCCTTCTAGTATCTGTGGATCTGTAGTGATATTCCCTCTTTCATACCTGATATTGGTCATCTGTGTCTTATTTTTGTTTTCTTGATTAGTCCAACTAAAAGTTTATCAATTTCTTTGATCCTTTCAAAGAACCATTGTCTTTGGACTTCCATAATTTCTGATGAGACATCTATAGTACTTCTTATATTTCTTCTACTTTATATAATGTGTCCCTTCTCCTCCCTGTCTTCTTTTAAGATTTTTTTCTTTATTATTAATATTTAGCAAGTTGATTATGATGTGTTGATTTGGTTTTCTTTTTGTTTATCTTGTTTGGCAGCCTTTTAAGCTTCTTGAAGCTTTGAGTTTATAATTTTCATCAAATTTGGAAAATTTCTGGCCAATATTTCTTTAAATACTTTTCTGTTTTTTTCCCTTCTTCTCCCCACCCCTTTCAGCTTTTGAGATTACAATTACATGTATACTAGACCACTGGATACTGTCCTCCAGGTCCTGTTGCTCAGTTTCTGTTCTTTT